CTCGATATGTTTCTGAGCTCAAACTTGTCTTCTAAGAAGGTGATAGTAAACCCGGTGCCTACATCCAGCAGAGCCATGTGGGGCAGAGTGCAGGTTTGTCCTCTTACTTTTGTCTTTCATTCGAGCCATCGTGCCACGGTAGACTTTATTCATTCGTGTGACACAGTACGCAGAGTTAACGTTACCCCTAAAACATGCCATATTAATTAATATATACTGTTAAATGCACAGGCATGTGAGTTTTTGATGTCTGCATCTATTCAGACAATTGTCCATCGCCAACTTGCATTCTTCTCGTCCACCGTACAACTTCAAAAGTGAGCTGATGTAGTTTTGCCAATTGTTTGCAAGTGTTTTGATCGATCAGGAAAATTTGCACTGTTGTAGATATTTGATAGTATGTGTGACGTATGCAAGAGGAAGCAGGCCATCTTCAATAGCCATATTGTAACGTTCATTATCACCCACATCATGAAAACGGGCTTTGTGAAGTCAGACTCCCCTCCTCGCTTGAAAAAGTTTGCACCATGGTCTCATATTTAGTTTTATTCAATTACAAACTGAGGAGCAGTACAGTGTATGTAAATCAGGAAGTTTGTATATAGAGAATTAATGATTGTAACTGTATGATTGTCTGTAGGGCATTATATCGAAACACACTGCTTACCTCAAGACTTGAGACAAATCTCTCCTTTCTCTCTCTATTTTTACGTTTCCTTGTACCTAGGCCTTCTCTCATACTAATTGGATATGATATGTAATGTATATCCTCCACCAGAAGCACTACGTAATAGCAAACTAACACAAAAGCTGGTCAGTGTTACGTGTATTCTATTTAAAGACACATTTATCGACGCTATATAGGCCCACGCGCACTCCGATGCACATCTGCAGATAAAATTCCTTTTAAAGACATTCTATAATTGGCTGATGTTTACTTATAATGTTGAAATAAGATCGCTTTCTTGTGGCTTCAGTGATAGTATGGTATACTTTTGCTGTGATTCGGTGTTTTGTGTCAGGAAAACACTCAGAAACAATCCTGTTTTTACAGCTCCAGTCACAAACAGTTCAATAAATGATTGTTAAGATAAGCTTGATCATCAGTCATAATGCTGAGTGCGCTTTGACTTTGGTATATATATATATATCTCACCTATGTATATAATAGCCAAACAAGGCCTGATTTTATCCTCCCATGTTAACAAAAGTTGTATTTTCAGCAGTAATAGATCATGTTCTTATGATTTGATCATCATTTGGAGCCACTTCAGTTGACAAACCAGAACCAAGAGAAACATAAAACGGGTTCTTGCAGGATGTCAGATACTCTGAGAGGTGGGGTCTGAAGTTCTGCTTCCTACAGCAGCAGCTTGGCAAATACAATCACTTCTCTCAATATCCTGCGCTTTATATGAAGGTGTTTTACTGTTGCTGTCGTCATGTCCCTCAGAGCATTTTATGACTGTACCTTGATTGTAGAAGCCCTATTTTATACTGAGAGTTATTTGAGATTACAGTATGTGCTGTTGTACATTAAATGTATTGTATGGAGAAAGCTAAATAAATGCTGTTTAAAAACTGTTTCTCTGGGAAATCATTGAGTCATCATAACTTCCTCTTAAATCTTATAAATGGTCTCATAACTCTGTCATATGCTATGCTATAGTGGTTTCTAACCAAAGGTGGCCATCAAGTAGCTGGAAAGCTTAACTTTTGGTAAAGATGACCTGCTAAAGTTCAAAGTGAGCACAAGAATGAGGAAGAAAGCTGGTTTAAGTGTCTTTGAGTGTGGTGTGTTTGTTGGTGGCAGACAGGCTGGTCTGAATATTTGTGAAACTGCTGGGATTTCCCCAACACAACTATCTGGCGTTTACAGAGAGTGGTCTGAACAAGAGAAAACATCCAGTAAGTGGCAGTGCTTTTAGGGAAAATGCTTTGTTGATACTAGAGGTCAGAGAAGAATGGCCAGAGTGTTTCAAGCTGTGAGGAAGGCAACAGTGACTGAAATAACCACTCGATACAACCAAAGTATGCAGAAGAGCAACTCTTAATGTGCAGCACATTGAAGCAGAGGGGCTTCATCAGCAGAAGACCATACCAGGGGCTGCTTCTGTCAACCAAGAACAGGAAATTGAAGCTACAAATTACACAGGCTCACCAAAAGCGGACAACAGAAGACTGATAACATGTTGGAAAAAGCATGGAGCCATCCTGCTTTATATCTAACATTTACAGTACTGGTGGTGGTGGAGGTGTAAGGGTGTAGGGGATATTTTCTTCCCACATGTTGGGCTTTTTACTACCCACTGACCATTGTTTATATGTCATGGTCTACCCAAGTTTTTTTTGCTGACCATGTCCATCAACTGTTCGTATTTAGTAAACAATGATTTCACTGTACTCAAACGACTTCCACGGTCGCCATATTTAAGTCCGATAGAGCATCTTATGTATGTGGTGGATTTTGTTTTTTTTTTAAAGAAACTTTACAGTTGGATTAAAAAGGTAATAAATGTATTTATTTTTTAGCAACTAATGAAGTGTTTATTTTGTTCCTGCAACTTTTTTCTCTTTTGCAGAGGTTTTTAACTCTGTTCTTATCTGTGCTCTGCAGTGCGTCAGTACATTTTCTGCAGTTCAGCCACTAGAGTGCACACTTTTAACATGCTGCCATAGAGCTACATGACTCACATGGTGTTTCATTTATTGTGGTGCTGCAAAAATAATCTCACGCACAGAGCAAGTTTGCCAAGACTAATCTGTTCAGTTGCATAAGCTGAAGTTTGATCTGTTTTTCCAATTCCTTGTCAGTGTTTTTAGTTTTCAAAACAACATCGGTGAACTCCTATTAAAGTCAAACCTGATTCATTTTGCCTTTCCAGTGTTTAGTTTTTAGTGAGCCTCATAAGTCCCAGCGCTGCTTCAGTGGGGCGGATCGGCAGTATTGGCAGGCCCCTCATCTTTCATAAGATAAGCAAATTACTGGCTTGTTTACATGCTGGTGTGTTGAAAATGTAAATCAAACGAAAGAGACTTTTGTACTGAGTTAACAAAGATGCCTCAATGGAATCTTGATACAGGATGCTCTACATCTGCGCCTAATCAGACTTGTGGCTCCAGTCCCACAGTCCCAGATGACTGGGATGTGGTGGACCTGCTGAATCACAGCAGACACACACAGGACGAAAAGAAAAATTCTAAGCCTTTTTTCCCCCCTTTTCTTATGACCTGAATCAAAATCACCCTTCCCTAACCTATTTTCCCTTCCATGCTTACATTAGCAATGTTTTATTGAAGGAGTGATTTCAGCTGAGAGCAACCTAACTGACATGATTCCACTCAGAAACCCTTTAAAGGATTAATAATGTGAAACAGAGAACTCAGCCACATATCCAGCATCCTACTGGTGTGTCAAGGCCTCTGGCTTCCAAGTCAGAATGACGAGAACAGAGCAGGGTTGACTTTTATGAATCTGTTTCCATTTGTACCTAGTGAGCCTGCTGGATTACAGTCCTTTTCTCTCACTTTCACTCTCGCCTTCCCTCCCCCAACTCTGTTCCTCTCTCTCTCTCTCTCTCTCTCTCTCTCTCTCTCTCTCTGATTTCATTGTTTCCTGCCCAGTAGTTTCTGATGCTCAGTTCAGGTCTGTGTGCACCCACATTAAACATAATGCACAGCACTCTGCTTGAAATGCTGACATATAGGAAATTACAGACACGTACAACAGTGATGTCAGCCCCATTTTCAGTCGACTCTGTGAAGTGCTCGGGTTTCTCTTGTCTGCACTGCAGACATCAAACAATGTGTGAGTGCTACCTGTGGCCATGTCACCTTTTGCAGGTTGATTTAAGGCCTTGTAGGGTTGCCTATCTTCTCTTTGTGGTTATCATCCACTGACTTTCCTTCAGAAACTATAGCTGCCCAAAGAACAAATGCTAGAACTGTTGCATTATCTATAACATCACTCAGATCATTTACACTGTTGTAACATATTAGCTTCCAACAAATAAAATCATTCCATTTGTGCTGTAATAATAACAGCAATAGTAATAACTAAAGTTATCCAGCTCTGTGTTAGTTCCAGCTCAGAAGCCCTGTGCTTGACCTTACTGTAGTCCGAGATTTCTGCAGCATTCTTCACAGCAGTAGTCATATCCCCCATCGATAAGATTGCACAACGCCATAGTTTTCTTAAAATCAAATCCCACGCAGTCTGTTTTCCTTTTCTGAGTCACTGTCCTCTGAGTCTGAGACAGTACGAACGAAATGATTTTAGCAGGTTTTCGTGCACTTGGACGTCTGTACCTGTGTATCTGTCTTGTTCATCACAGTCTGAAACCCATTCAGAGGACATCTCTTCTTTTTCTGCTCCTAAGCAGAGTTTATAGGAGTTCTATGGGCTTCACAATGCTTTTTACCACATTGCTTAATATCTGGATTCTAAATCTAGAAACTGAAATGATCTAAACTCATAGCCTAGACTTATTAATGGATCAGTCATTCTTCATTGAGACTAGCTGCAACATTTTCTACACACCCAGAATTTAAAGGCCCTGACAGGCTCTCCAAACAGTGGACAGAGTAAGAGGAGGATGGGGGATGGTTAAAAAAAAACACAGCAAATGTTAATTCTGTCATCTGCTCAGACAATTCTCTTGCCCAGCGTGTGTATTACTCCAA